TACCCCCAGAAGGGCTTGCAAGGATTTATCAGGTCTTTGTGTAAAGATTTCGGAGTATATGAACTGTATTTGAAATTTTGCCTATTGACGTGTGTAAAATGATTTATTTTCTCGCTGACGATGACTCTTGGACTCTTGGGATGTTAGGTTTGTAGCCTGAGATATAAATTTCTGATGTTCTTTGCGGGACAAAATTCCATTGTTGCACTATTTTGTGACGAAGCATAATTTAAATACGCGAGTCTCCTGGTATTTTCCCTGTGCGCCACAAATACATTCCGTCACACATTTTGGCTAAACTATCTCTTTAATTAATATTCAAAGAGGTATTATTGGAATTTACGGTATTGAAAGTATTCAGCAACTATGAATAAAAAGCGTATTTTATCAGGGAAAGCTGATTTTCTTATTCAATCTATTAACCTCAAAAAATTATAGTTTTCTAGAATAAATCTCTGCTTTTTAACGTGTAAAGTTACCTACTTGTTCCTTTTTTTTTTAAATTTTAATTTTGACAGTCTGGTGACTAACATTTAACATAGAGAGTTCCTGCTACTCATAATGTTAGCAATTATTGAATTATTACACTAGAGGGCATGATTTTCATTTAAATTTGACGTACTGGTTAGTACCAACGTTTTCCGTTGAGAGGAAGCGCTGTATGCTCATCTTGTCCACTTTTAATTCTCTTCCTTTTCGAATTGTGTCGTCAAGCTGCAAAGTCGATCAGCCATCTTCTCCAGACAACCGTGCCGTAGAAAAATAAAGTACCTTATCGGCCTTCAGGCATTATAACGAAATAAAGTTGCGTAGAGCAATAATCCTTTGATTACCAACAAATTTTAACCAAAAAGCCTCGTGATTACCGTTTAATTTAAGATTGAATTTCAACGTCCCTCGTGGTAGGTTTTTTTAAATTTCTTTTTAAGTAATAGCTTTTCAAGGAATGCCTTATTACTAAGGGGCTTTTGGAGAGCTGTTTCTCTCAACAAGTCCATTCCAAAGAGGCCACATTTTCAATAGAACACCATTTCCGTGGAGTGTGGCATAGAGCTTTTGAAGGGATTTCTACCCTAAGTAGGTATAATATGGGGTTTCTGCAACCTCCGTCCTCCAGAGGAGCTTCCAGCACGCCTGCACGTGCCATCTATCGGTTCCTGCTGCACGTGTCCGGTGCGCCATCTATAGGTTCAGTTGCCTATAATAGCCCCGGGGCTTTTGTAATTATCGGTACCTGCCGTATGATGCGCGATCTAGGTTCGGATACCTCTAATACCCCTAGGAATCGGGGGCTTTTGTGATTATCGGTACCTGCTGTAGGTGTCCGAATCGGGGCCTTTTGTAATTATCGGTACCCGCTGTCAAACCCCCGAAATTTCAGATCAAAGGCGTTGCCGATCTAGAGATTTTCCCACGGTATCGAAAAAGTTCCCAGGCTCAGGTGCCCCCGTTAGCTAGCGTGATTATTTTAAGGTTTAATGAATAAAATTTTACCGAAAAATTGTTGTTTCATTGAACTTCATGGCCAATTGCATCAAATAACACACAAATGGCGAGAAACCATCTCCAAAACGCCTCGGACACCTACAGCAGGTACCGATAATTACAAAAGGCCCCGATTCAGACACCTAGAGCAGGTACCGATAATTACAAAAGCCCCCGATTCCTAGGGGTATTAGAGGTATATGAACCTAGATGGCGCATCATACGGGAGGTACCGATAATTACAAAAGCCCCGAGGCTATTATAGGCAACTGAACCTATAGATGGCACACCAGACACGTGCAGCAGGTACCGATAGATGGCGCGTGCAGGCGTGCTGGAAGCTCCTCCGGAGAACGGAGGTTGCAGAAACCCCATATTATACCTACTACCCTACAAGAATCAAGACCCTCACGAGTCCATTGACGACAATTCTAGTCCCTTATCTGCCTGGCTTCTGGGCTGGAATACGCAAGTTCCATGTGCGGTTCTCTTTGTCAAGTGACCGAGGATGGATGGCTTCTGTGCTCTACCTTATGTTGGAATGGAGGCTTGTATTACGTTTCTCTAATAACTTTTAATACCTTTTCTTTTATCAAATCAGTTTTATAGTCAATTAACAAATTTAAGATCATTTTTTTATATGATTTTCATGCAACATTTAAACTCTCTGATTCTTGACACGATGGTAAAGAATTAGTTTTCGATTTATCAAATAAATTATGGATTTGTCTTTGCATAACTTTTAATATTGCCTTATATTTCATCATTTTTATCAATAATAATCGATAAGTCAGATAAGTCATCTGAACAAAGGTCAAGGTTGGACAACATGTTCTGAATTTAAAATAATAGCCTACCGTCAAAAATTGATCAATTTTTAACCCTGGGTCCTACGACTTATATATTTGAGGATTTCTATTATATCTCCAGACCATTTAATGGTTATATAGCCCAACTTTCGATTTCTTTCAGGTACAATTTGATTTTATTGAATTAATTTTTTTTACAGAAGCTGACCATATTTATCAATACAATCTTCAATCATTTATTATTTTTTAATTAGTTTTCTGGAAACTTAAATCTTTATATTTACCATTACCATTTGCTGATTATTTTCTAGGTGTGTTTCTGAATTTTCACCCTTCCATATTTTAAGCCATTTTATTATTATTATTATTTTTAAAAATTCAGTGGCGCTCTTACCATTCTGTACTGATTAAACTATCAACCCACACCTAATAATTTTTCTCTGAGCAAACTGAGCATATAATGGGCCCCTTGTTATAGCTATTTATGTACCAAGGGGATTATGTAGATTATAATGCCCGAAGGCGAAACTAGCCCGAGGGCCTATGGCCCGAGGGATATATTTCGCCTGAAGGGCATTATAATCTTGAAATCCCCGTGGTGCATACAATGCTTTATTTTCTACTCAACACAATGTTTTTTCATCAATTTGTTATTAACAAAATCAGTTAAACTTGTGTGACAGAATATTGTTTTGTATTTTGACATGTACCTGTACCTGTGACCTGTACCTGTACCTGCGACCTGTACATAGAAACGAAATAAATTAATATATCTATAAACATCTCATAAGGCAAGGCAACGGTGGTGGTCCTGTGGGTTAACACGCTGGACTACATGGGAAACATTGATGGTAGACCGGGTTCGAATCCTGGCTAGACCGAAAATTATTTTCGGTCAGACATTTAGTGGCTGCCTAGGGTAAAGTGCAAATTAATAGAACAACAACAACAAAAACACCTTAAGGTATTATAAGCGGGCGTTATAGATCATAACGCCCGCAAAAGCGGGCGTTATGGATCAGGTTGTTATAGGTGTGTTAACGTATTTCGTTTCCTAGGTATTATGGATCTATAATAGTAAAGTAGAAAATAAATTCATTAACAAAACGGGTTACAGCTTCCGATAACAATAATTCCCTATTCAAACCATGTTACCGATCTATAGCGTGCGTTCAACCTGCTTTGTAATGAGCAGACATTAGAGGCAGAGGCAGCATTAAATATCAATTTTTCTTCATATTTTCAGCGTTCTCGACCTCGGTGTGGCTAATCTCAACTTCGAACAGACTCAAAGCAAATAGAACAAGAATAAGAATATTGCATGAAATATAATATAGTGGTAGTTATAATGGAAATCGATAATATGAAATGGGGAAAAGATTTTGCTAGAAAAGTAAACTTTTATATTCAAGCTAAGGGTTTATTATGAGAGAGATTCAGGAGCCACACAACTTCCATAGAAATGTTAAGAGCAAGGCAAAAATAAAATAAGGATTAGGTAAACACTAATTAATCCAGATTCTAATGGAAACTCTAACATAGTTTATCTAAGATTCGCATCAGCAACGTTAATTTTAATAGCATCAGCCAAGAATGTGTCGTAAACATTTTAACATGGTGTGTAGGGAAGGAGGACGTTAATGTATGCAATCCATCCGGTCCCATGTTAGTTTGCGATTTCCGTAAATAGGGGATAAGCACGGAGAACGGTTTGTTTAGTAGTTACGGAGGACGTACCTCTTGTTGGCCTGTCAACGCACGTCGGATTATGTATTTTTCATGGAGGTAAATATTGTGCCTCTATACAAACAAGCCTCGATAAATGATGGCACGATTTTTTTCTAATCGACTAATGCTGAATTAAAACGAAATAAATCACAACGGAAAAATATTTTTTCGAATAGAGATGATAACGGGAATCATCTACTATCACTTCTCACGTCCAATTAGGCAAATGACATATCGTGAGAAATCCAACAAATTCATTCCAGTGGCGCATACATTGCACTCTTAACAATAAAAATGTGTCATATACAATCAAGTTATGCTACAATAACCCAGAATGTCATTTACCAACATATAGTGAAGGAATTTATTTTGTATTTTTGTTGCTATTTATCCTTTAGGCATAATATATTAAGATTCTCCCAAACTAATCATTAGTTCAAGAGACGCCGCTGAGTAGTAACAAAATATTTCACGCCTGATTTGACATCAGATTTATTAGCGAGCGTAATTGGGCTGAGCAGAGAGATCGAACATAAGTGGATACTTCATTAAATTCAATTTATTTGGAGAACCATGAAGTTGCTTACCTTGCTACTAGGGATATCAAGTTTACTACTGGAAGTAAATTGAGTTTTTCATTTGAGTTGAGATTTTAACAATGTTTTTTTTTTAGATTTGTTTTACAGCTAAACATGGATCAAACAACTTTTGGATTTGGAATAAAACTCATTTTTATAATGTGAATGGTGAAATTTGGCAAAACCCTTTATACAGTTTTAATGAAAAGAAAGTTTTGCAAATTGCAAAAAATAAAACCATTATTGTTGCAGTTCATAACGTAAGTAGGTATAAAATTCAGTATTTCTTCACTAAACCCAAAACTTTTAGATGGAACCATATTTATTATATCATCAATCTAACAACACTATAAGTGGCCTTTTAGGAGATCTATGGAACATCCTACAAGAAAATTTACATTTCAAGTTTAGATAAATTTATAATATCGCATTTCCGATTTATTTGAATTTAATTTTCAGAAGCAAAATCGTGCCACGTATAACATTTATCAGAGGCAGAGATATGGTGAAAAACGGTGAAGCGGATGTATTTTTGGGATCCACAGTTTATACAGACCAAACGACAAATATGCATTTTTCGCACCCTTATTTTCAAACTTGGTATGTTACTTGTGGGTACCAGTAGTCCAAAAATTGTTTAAAATAATTCATGAAAAATATAATTTCCCGATAAGGGAAGTGCTTGTAACCGTCGAAGCAAAAGTACTTCTCAGGATAGTTGCTGAGACATTTCGTTAACCCTTTTTTGTGTTAGCAAGTACTCTGCTAGTTTACAAAGTGAAATTGTGAAAGCAGTGATCCAATGTGATAAGTGAAAGATCATCATGGACCAACCACAGACTAGCTGCATCCCACTTCAATAGAGGACTACAAAATATGAAAGACTGGACGATTGGGTTCATCAAAGAAGAACTAGACAGCAAAAACTTCCACCCGACGTCTGTCTTAAGGTGGTACAATGCCAGGGCAGCCGCAATAGCGGTTGTACTGTTGATCCCGCATTCGCCGAGACAAACATCTTTAAACTCAACTTCATCAACTACATTAAAGTGACAGTCGAAACTCAACGCACCCAAGAGCAATCCACACAGTGGCACAGATACCAATTATACCAAGTGCCAAGCCTTGCCCAAATGCGGAAATGCGCCGCTGAAGATCACTCTTCGACTTGCGCCAAACCCAAGGAGGAACCAGACACCTGTGCAAACTGCGGCGTCCGCACCCAGAATCTTACCATGATTGCCCGAGAAACCTCAAGCACCAAAAAATTCCCATGTACAAGCCGGGGGGGGGGGGGGGGGGGGGGGGTGGGTGGCTCAAACTTCGTTTTGGGCAAGCAACGTAAAATGTAGCCAACCAACATACAACAATATACAAAAACGGGAGGAGAGACGGCTAGGAAACTCCGAGAACCCACTTTCCCGGCTCAAAGATAGTTGATCAGATTCAGTGGACATGGAACGAGCCTACACTTCAAAGAGCATCCAGAAACGACTGAATGACCTTGAAGAAAGTAGTCAACTATCAAAAAGTCAAATGGGCCATAAACATATTTGCCCCATATAAGTCAACAAAGACAGATGGGATCTATCCCATAATGGTACAGAACGCTACTGAATTTGCAAACAAGATACTAGTAACATTCTAAGAAGTAGCCTAGCCTTTGGCTATGAATCAGAGGCCTGAAGGCGCATTAGGGTATCGTTCAAACCAAAACCCGGAAAAATAGGACAGGACATAACGAAGTCCCTGAGACCCATTATTCTTACATCATTTGTGTTTTGGACACTGGACAAAACTTTTGGTTAGGCACATTAGGGAAGATGTTTTGGCAAACAGATCACTTCACCCAGACCAATATGCACATCGGACAGGGATATCAACAGAAACAGCGCTTCACCAGCTGGTCGGCATAGTGAAGACCACACTGGCAAACAAAGAGATGATGCTGGGTTCCTTCTTGGATATGAAGGGAGCTTTTGACAACACTTTTTTCAATTCAGTAACCAGATTTCTCAAGCACAAAGGAGTTGAGGACACTATTGCAGAGGAGCCACTGGCCGCCAGGATGTGAAGGGGATGCCTACAGGGTGAGGACTATTCCCACTCTTGTGGAATCTAGTGGCGGATGGCCTGCTTAAGGTATTCACTTACGGAGGACACCATGCCCTCGGATATGCTGACGACAGTCATCATCTCACAGGGTGAATTCAACTATACAGTTAGGGAACGAATGCAAGACGCTTTAGACCAAACAACAAGATGGGTGGATAGAGATAAAGGTCAATGTAAGAATTCCCTCCCGGATAAACAGAGGCCGGCAGTGTTCCCTAGTGCCGACTCCAGAAAACAGCCCGTTTTTGTAAAACAAAAACTGAATTAACTAGTTGACCATTGGCAAAACCCCAAAATTCAATGCCATATCTGAGTCGTGACTCAACAAGTCCAAAGTACACACCCCTTACAATGTCATGACCCAACTCATTACGAACCGTCCTTATCGCATAACATGCCGGGGCTAGTACTTTTCGTACTGCGAAAAGTACTAGTTTCGCAGGTCATTGATATGTTCACCAAACTTCAACTTAGAATCTATAGCTAAGCCCAAGAACCTGGAACACTCCTTATTAGCAAGTGGCTCATCATTTAAACTTATATTTGCCACAGAACACTTAAAGGAAAGTAAATTTGTTTTTGATATGTTAAAAAATAGTTTATTGGAGTCACACCAGTGCTTTACCTTGCAAATATCTTGTCTAATCCTATCCTCCAAGGTGACCTTGTCTGATCCCAGCCATAAGATGGTAGCATCATCAGCAAATAGTGTAATAATTGATGCATCAATGTAGATGCAAGCTAGATCATTAAAGTAAATTAAAAAGAGCAGGGGATCAAGCACTGATCCTTGGGGCACCTCATGCTCAAGGCTCCGTACCGATGATACATCGTTGTGGCCCTTAACAATCTGTTTTCTGTCTGTCAGATAAGACTGTATCCAGCTCAAAGTGTTACCCCTGAATCCATAATGAAAGAGGTTCTGGAGTAATATTTTACGGCTTACACAATCGAAGGCTTTGGAAAAATCGCAAAAGACTGCAGCCGCGATCTCTCCCTGATTCAGTCCAAGATACAGCCTCTGAAGAAAGTTGGACACTGCATCACTAGTGCTCTTCTTATCCTGAAATCCAAACTGGTTGATATTCAGCAACCCGTGAGCCCGAAGAAAAGAGACCATGCTAGACTTAACAAGTTTTTCTATTATATTTGAGAGTGTTGGCAGCAGACATACGCCTCCCAGGTGTGCTGGCCCAAGACACTGCAGGGAAGTGCCATACGCCAACTTGGCAAAGTGCATAGAGGGGTCTGCTTAGGGATAACGAGGTCAATGCGATCCACACCAACAGCAGTCATGGAGACCTTCCTAGACCTTCCTCCTTTACACATAGTGATACAGGGGAAGGCAATGATGGGAGCGTACAGTTGTCTGCCCCTGTTCTCTGCGCCAGAGAAAACGAAAAGTTCTCCCCTAATTTTTTTCGACAGAAGTGTGGTGACTTGCTTACCCTGACCTTGGAGCGCGTATAAAACAAGCCGCACATTGAGACGCAGGTGACACAGGCGACGCAGGGCAGGGCAGGTTGACACAGTTCAGGAGAAGAGCATTTCACGCAGTGTGAGCGCATATTCAAAAGCAGTTCTGTGGGCCGGTATTCTCGTTCTCGAAAACGCTCACCGCTTTTTAGTCGCTCGGCACTTCAAATGCAAATTTGCATTGAAAGTGCCGAGCGACTGAAAAGCGGTGAGCGTTTTCGAGAACGAGAATACCGGCCCTCTGGACAGTTCCTATTATGGCCGTGTTGGTTTTTGTCATCTTTTTCGTCGATTTGCTCCGAAATTTTGACAGGCACGTGACTGGATCAGACAGTTTCAATTTACAAATCACGTGCCTGTCAAAATTTCGGAGCAAATCGATGAAAAAGATGACAAAAACGAACACGGCCTATAAAGTCTTGACGTACGAGTGCGAATACAGATATACATAGAAAGATTTTTTTTTTTTTTGAAAATGGCTTTCCTTTTGGATAGTTTCGAGTCAGAGTCGGACGCAGAATTTGAAAAATCAGTTCTATTATACAACATTTTGAAGAGGAAAATATTATTTTGGAAAAGCAACGACATATATTCTGAAAAGGAGAAATACGTTCGTCATGTTCGTTGGTGTCGTAAAGGGTAGTATTATGCCCCCTCACCAATTCAATCAATTGTTCCTCCATATTAATATTTATCATACACTCAAATAAATAAACTCGAGGAAACCGCTAATCAAAATGAAAAACTTGCAGGCACGTGGCGCAAGAAACCGGAACACTGCGTCACGCAGGTTCATTCGGACATAATTATGTGCTGCCCTACACTGCTTCCCAATTCGCGCGTCTATTAAATTGTACTGGATACAGAAACCTGCACTGCCCTGCCATGCGTCGCCTGTGTCACCTGCGTCTCAATGGGCGGCCAGCTTTTTAGGCTGGCAATACTTTGCGTGGGTTTCCTCACTATCGGAATCGCTCTAGGCGGCCAGCGAACGAGCACCCCTAGTATTGTTGGTGCGAGCTGCTTACGAGCACGAAGAAAGAAACGAGAGAGCCAACGATTAAATCCTCCGGGCGCGAAATAAGGTTTTCGGAAAACCCAGTTCGTCGTAAGGGAAACCTGCATCAATTATCGAATTGGAGGTTGCTGTCCTAGGGGAGTACTTTGCATTAAACAAAAATACCCGACAAAAGTCCGTTTCAGGATAGTTACCAGGAAGTTAAAAAAAAAGTACTGCAGCCGACAACCACCTCCTACAAAAGTACGGGACACATGGCAATCGTAGATCTCGTGGGGGGGAGAGATTTTCAACATGAGGTGCGACTACATGCCAAGACGATATTGCCTAAACTGACCATTCTAGGTGATCTTCCCAAGCAGAACTGAATGTGAACATGGCATACCGGAGACCAGAACTGGTACGTCTGGTACCGGAGCAGGGGTATACTCCACCAACTATAGCGATCATTATGCACTGGGAAGACATACCCCTGTTTTTCAAGCAGAGGTATACGCTTAACTCCAATGCGCAGCGGAGAATAACAGGAGAGCCACAGCCAGCAGGCACATCCTTATAATGTCTGATAGTCAAGCGGCACTGAAGGCCCTTTCGAGCCAGAGAGTGTCATTAAATCTAGTATGGGAATGTCGGGAAGAACTCAGGGCTCTGGCGCACCCGAATAAGTGAAACTTATCTGGGTGCCAGGATACAAAGGAATGGAAGGCAATGAAAAAGCTAATGAACTCGCAAAGAGAGGGTCAGAGACAAAACTCATCCGGTCAGCAAAAGGACCACAAATGAGCAGGAGCCGACTGAGAACCAGAATGGGACTCTTGACTGGACACGCATCAGTAAAGGTCCACCTGAATAGGACCTGTACGACGGAGACCCTAATTGCAGACTCTGCAATAAGGAACCCGAGACAGCCAGACACATCCTGGTGAACTGCGAGGCACTGGATCGCAGAAGACAGCATTTTCGGGCAACCAAATGTAGAACTAGAAACAGTAATGAAACACCACCCAGTGAAAGACCTGTACAACCTCGTACAATTCACAAATATACTAGAAGGGTTGGAATAAACCACACAGAGTCAGACAGGCCTGAAACAAGGGTAAAAACACACACACAGCAACACCAACAAGCCCCAGCGCAACCAACAATGGAATCACTAATGTGGCAGATGAACGCCCTTCAACATTAACTGAATGTCAGGATGCAGAACCAAAATAATCCCAGGGATTCTCGCAACCCAGCCCTGCCGGAATCAAAACACCTTCACCCAGGGAACCGAATCTGAGGTGGCCAAGAATCACCTCCCACTAAAAGATATCATATGCAGGATGATAGAGTTTGTGGTCAACTCTATCAGGACCAGGACAGGTATTCTCGTTTTCGAAAACACTTAATGTAAATTTACATTAAAAGTGCCAAGCAACTAAAAAGCGGTAAACTGTTTCGAAGACGAGAATACCTGTCCTAGGATGTTGCAGAACCGGCCATCCTATACTACTAAAGAAATTTTTGACGAATCATCAGATGAGAATATAATAATAAATATACTTATTTAAGTCTCAGAGAAAAATATTATATCATTATATACTCGTTAAAGACTCTATACTTATAAATTCTCCTCTTATGATTCATCAAAAAAATCGCGTAGTAGTGTAACAAGGCCGGTTCTGCATCATTTTCCTGACCTTGTCACAGATGAATGAATGATATCGGTCTTTTCAGGCAAACAATAATTTACTTAATAATATTGATAAAAATTTCAGGTACCACCTCTATTTCAAAGTTCCCGAAGGTCGACCGGCTCGCTATCTTCACTTCAAAGCTTTCAGCGACAGGATGTGGCTGCTTCTATTAGGCTTCTATAGTTTTTTAACATTCATGCTTTGGTTGACTTGCTTTATTTTGAAAAAGTTTGTTCCCAGAGTGGAAATACTATTGTCGGTACCTACGTACTTCTTAGGAGTTATGGCGGCATTTTTTAACACTGGTAATTGTTTTGTAGTTTTTTTTTTTTAGTTATACTTAGGTAATCTTTCAGGTCATGATTTAAACCTCAGAAGTTGTTCAGCAAGACTACAACTAATTTCAGCGTTATTTTTTGGACTTATTTGCTATTCCTTGTTGAGTGCTAGCTTGGTGGCTAACCTGACTACATTAGACAGACCCAAGCCAATTTCTAGTTTAGACGATGTTTGGCAACAGGATACCTATGCTCTTTGCATGAGAAACATAACTTTTTTATATGATCAATTTGTGGTAAGAATTAAACGCTCGAAGATAAGTTTATAGAGTAAAATTATGTATTTTCAAGAACAAGAATAGGACTATTCTTCCAAAATATAAAAATAATTTAAACACTAAGAAGTGTCCAAGAAATATGCTTGTTTGGGAGAGTATACCAGCAAGTATTTGCAAAAGTAACGTCATCATTTTAGAAAATATGATAATAATGGGATTGGCTTTGCCACATGTTAGATGTCAACTTACCATGTTACCCAAAAGGTAATATTTCAGATTTTTCAAGAATGATGTAAAAAAAATTTTTTTTAGGTATAATGGCACTGGGAATTATATTGTATATTCGAAAAAGTTCAAATTGAGAAAAGTTATAGACCTGATGTAAGTAACGACATTATTACTTGTGTCCCCCAAAATAATTATTAATTAGCTTAGAACTCATATGCAATTTTTCTTAGGAGTACGAGAATATGGAGCAGCGGTATAAGAAGTAAACTAAGAAGCAAATGGGTTCCACTCATGCTACCCAATTTTTCGACTACAAATGATATAATTCAATCAACTACTTTCTCTCATGTCAGCGATCTTATTGGTATATATTGTATCTTGATGCTTGTTAGCTTATTCATTTTAGGTTTAGAATTAATTCTTGCATTGGTTTTGGAAAAGAAAAAACATCAAGTAGAAATTATAAGATTCAAAACTGTAGCGTATAGAAATTATTAACTATTAAAAACTTACCAGAAAACAACTCCAAAAATTTTTCTACCCCATAATTATTGGGAAACCTATAAGTTGGATCTTTCAAGGCCTCTAACGTATGAACTTTGATCCTTTTGACCATAAAAGTGATATTGTCCTTTTTCCCGTCTTGATTGAAGTCTGAAAATAAAGATAAAATAATATTCGAGAATGAAAATGAAATAAAAAAAAAAATACGCCGATTCTCATTGAGCAATCATTATCCGAGAACGCTGAAGGGTAATTTTCCTTTCCAAAAAGAACACCGTCCCTACTCAATTTTGCCACCGGCGACTTTTTTCTTTGGTATGTAAATATGGGGAAAAAAAAAACGAGCATCTCGGAAAGAGAATTATGTTTAAAAGGAACTTTTTTTTTTTGACTTTGGGCGACAATTTATCGCCCCTGTCTCCGGCCTGAACGTAATTTGAGAAAGACGTCAGTCAATTTATAATTCTAATAAAGGGTGTGAAATGGAAAAGCTTACAATATAATCACATCATAAAATAGCTCTCAAACAAAACAAAAAAACCCAAGCCATCATCATAGAAAACTCCAAGCCATACACAAAAGCAATCAACGTTGTCTACCTCAAAATGGCACTTCTTGACTTCCCTATAAATTATTTACTCTCTTGTGAAAAATGGGGTCGAGATTTAGGCGCAACACAATTTGGCTTTCATCCTACGAGGGCGAACGCAGACGATTTTGGGCTTCCTTAGACTCTATATGTGATGAGAGCACGTAAGAGCACTTATCTGCCAAATGGAAATTGCGAATGGAAAACGACGTGGCTTTATTCATATACGCACAGCGAACGAAAACAAATACTTTTAACAGCACTTTATTTTGGAATCGGAGACCAAAAATATTCGTCAATTATTCTTAATAATCTCAAAAAGTTTTCATTCTTCGTCAGGCCTGGAGCATAATTAGGAGTACGACCATACCTAAAGGCTTACAAATAAGTCGCCCCTAATAAGAATCTAATTATGGAAAATCTTTATTATTAGCCCGTGCGCATCTCACGCCCTTTGGAGCTGATAAATTCCCAAATTACCTTGGGCTTTGGGAACGGCGACAGCAAATAGGACAAGAGTTTGTTTTTTAACTAAAGTGAACGTCAATTTGAGGGCAAAATTTGACTTCATTTTAATGAGAGGAAAAAGGATATTATGAGGCGGTAGGCCCTTCCTCGACTTTTTCTTTCCATTAAATGGTGAAACTTAAACAAATTTATGTGTGTTATGACTTCTTCACAGAACAAAATCTAGTGGGAGATCCAAGTAGCCATTGATTCAAGACTACATAGTGTGGAGATGCATCATCTCGTTGGAAGAGCATCTCATCGATTCTCCAATTGCTTTCAAATAAAGGGCCAATTATCCAAGAATGCCAGCCCCAAACATTAATTTTCTCGAGACACGGTGTTGGAAATGAGACTATATTTGTAGTGCCTTTGAATTTTTTTTAATTTACATCAAGCTGTGCTAGTAGCACTCAAATTCGCTAGCCTCTATGAATTCTCAGTTCTAAAATATCGGCACTAAAATGGAGGACAAACTTGGATACACAGGAAACTATAATGTCGGTTTGTGTGGAATATTCCAGAAATTGTGGGTAAAATATCTGAATGTAGCAAAACTCACACAATTCAGTTAATTTATGCACATTTACACCGATAATGTCTCGCGTTTTATAGTTCATTGATCTACAGTCACAACATTAGTCCAGAAAGTCATTGGGCTGGTAGTTCACTATAAAACCCCAGGCCCCCCGTTGGGCGCCAAATATGTAGCGGGTATCGAAGGGAACTCCAACACTATGCAAACTTGGACACACAAGAAACTATAATGTCGGTTTGTGTGGAATATTCCAGAAATTGTGGGAACAATATCTGAATGTGGCAAAACTTACATAATTCAGTCAATTTATGCACATTTACACCGATAATGTTTTGCGTTTTATAGTTCATTGATCTACAGTCACAAAATTAGTCCAGAAAGTCATTGGGCTGGTGGTTCACTACAAAACCCCAGGCCCCACGTTGGGCGCCAAATATAGGTGGGTTCGGCTTGCTCACTCCGTGTGACTCCATTCGCACTCCAGCCGTTCGGGTTGAGGTTCGGGTATTGCTTTTTACCGTATTAGGGGTGACTCCATTAGCTCTGTTCATTCCACTCCAACTCCGCGCTGAATAGCCGAACCCAGCTTATATAGCGGGTATCGAAGGGAACTCCAACACTATGCAAACTTGGACACACAGGAAACTATAATGTTGGTTTGTGTGGAATATTCCAGAAATTGTGGGAACAATATCTGAATGTGGCAAAACTTACATAATTCAGTCAATTTATGCACATTTACACCGATAATATCTCGCGTTTTATAGTTCATTGATCTACAGTCACAAAATTAGTCCAGAAAGTCATTGGGGCGGTGGTTCACTACAAAACCCCAGGCTCCACGTTGGGCGCCAAATATGTAGCGGGCATCGAAGGGAACTCCAACACTATGCAAACTTGGACACACAGGAAACTATAATGTCGGTTTGTGTGGAATATTCTAGAAATTTTGGGAACAATATCTGAATGTGGCAAAACTTACACAATTCAGTCAATTTATGCACATTTACACCGGTAATGTCTTGCGTTTTATAGTTCATTGATCTACAGTCACAAAATTAGTCCAGAAAGTCATTGGGGTGGTGTTTCACTACAAAACCCCAGGCCCCACGTTGGGCGCCAAATATGTAGCGGGTTCGAAGGGAACTCCAACACTATTCAAACTTTGACACACAGGAAACTATAATGTCGGTTTATGTGGAATATTCCAGAAATTGTGGAAACAATATCTGAAGGTGGCAAAACTTACATAATTCAGTCAATTTATGCACATTTACACCGATAATGTCTCGCGTTTCATAGTTCAATGATCTACAGTCACAAATTTAGTCCAGAAATTCATTGGGGTAGTAATTCACTACAAAACCACAGGCCCCACATTGGGCGCTAAATATGTAGCGGGTATCGAAGGGAACTCCAACACTATGCAAACTTCGGCACACAGGAAAATATAATGTCGGTTTGTGTGGAATATTCCAAAAATTTTGGGAACAATATCTAAATGTGGCAAAACTTACATAATCCAGTCAATTTATGCACATTTACACCGATAATGTCTCGCGTTTTATAGTTCATTGATCTACAGTCACAAAATCAGTTCAGAAAGTCATTGGGGTGGTGGTTCACTACAAAATCCCAGGCCACACGTTGGGCGCGAAATATGTAGTGGGTATCGAAGGGAAGTCCAACACTATGCAAACTTGGACACACAGGAAACTATAATGTCGGTTTGTGTGGAATATTCCAAAAATTTTGGGAACAATATCTAAATGTGGCAAAACTTACATAATCCAGTCAATTTATGCACATTTACACCGATAATGTCTCGCGTTTTATAGTTCATTGATCTACAGTCACAAAATTAGTCCAGAAAGTCATTGGGGTGGTGGGTCACTACAAAACCCCAGGCCCCACGTTGGGCGCCAAATATGTAGCGGGTATCGAAGGGAACTTCAACACTATGCAAACTTGGACACACAGGAAACTATAATGTCGGTTTGTATGGAATATTCCAAAAATTGTGGGAACAATATCTGAATGTGGCAAAACTTTCATAATTCAGTCAATTTATGCACATTTACACCGATAATATCTCGCGTTTTAGAGTTCATTGATCTACAGTCACAAAATTAGTCCAGAAAGTCATTGGGGTGGTGGTTCACTACAAAACCCCAGGCCCCACGTTGGGCGCCAAATATGTAGCGGGTATCGAAGAGAACTCCAACACTATGCAAACTTGGACGCACAAGAAACTATAATGTCGGTTTGTGTGGAATATTCCAGAAATTATGGGAACAATATCTGAATGTGGCAAAAATTACATAATTCAGTCAATTTATGTACATTTACACCGGTAATGTCTTGCGTTTTATAGTTCATTGATCTACAGTCACAAAATTAGTCCAGAAAGTCATTGGGGTGGTGTTTCACTACAAAACCCCAGGCCCCACGTTGGGCGCCAAATATGTAGCGGGTTCGAAGGGAACTCCAACACTATTCAAACTTTGACACACAGGAAACTATAATGTCGGTTTATGTGGAATATTCCAGAAATTGTGGGAACAATATCTGAATGTGGCAAAACTTACACAATTCAGTCAATTTATGCACATTTACACCGATAATGTCTCGCGTTTTATAGTTCATTGATCTACAGTCACAAAACTGGTCCAGAAAGTCATTGGGGTGGTGGTTCACTACAAAACCCCAGGCCCCACGTTGGGCGCCAAATATAGGTGGGTTCGGCTTGCTCACTCCGTGTGACTCCATTCGCACTCCAGCCGTTCGGGTTGAGGTTCGGGTATTGCTTTTTACCGTATTAGGGGTGACTCCATTAGCTCTGTTCATTCCACTCCAACTCCGCGCTGAATAGCCGAACCCAGCTTATATAGCGGGTATCGAAGGGAACTCCAACACTATGCAAACTTGGACACACAGGAAACTATAATGTTGGTTTGTGTGGAATATTCCAGAAATTGTGGGAACAATATCTGAATGTGGCAAAACTTACATAATTCAGTCAATTTATGCACATTTACACCGATAATATCTCGCGTTTTATAGTTCATTGATCTACAGTCACAAAATTAGTCCAGAAAGTCATTGGGGCGGTGGTTCACTACAAAACCCCAGGCTCCACGTTGGGCGCCAAATATGTAGCGGGCATCGAAGGGAACTCCAACACTATGCAAACTTGGACACACAGGAAACTATAATGTCGGTTTGTGTGGAATATTCTAGAAATTTTGGGAACAATATCTGAATGTGGCAAAACTTACACAATTCAGTCAATTTATGCACATTTACACCGGTAATGTCTTGCGTTTTATAGTTCATTGATCTACAGTCACAAAATTAGTCCAGAAAGTCATTGGGGTGGTGTTTCACTACAAAACCCCAGGCCCCACGTTGGGCGCCAAATATGTAGCGGGTTCGAAGGGAACTCCAACACTATTCAAACTTTGACACACAGGAAGCTATAATGTCGGTTTATGTGGAATATTCCAGAAATTGTGGGAACAATATCTGAAGGTGGCAAAACTTACATAATTCAGTCAATTTATGCACATTTACACCGATAATGTCTCGCGTTTCATAGTTCAATGATCTACAGTCACAAAATTAGTCCAGAAATTCATTGGGGTAGTAATTCACTACAAAACCACAGGCCCCACATTGGGCGCTAAATATGTAGCGGGTATCGAAGGGAACTCCAACACTATGCAAACTTCGGCACACAGGAAACTATAATGTTGGTTTGTGTGGAATATTCCAGAAATTGTGGGAACAATATCTGAATGTGGCAAAACTTACATAATTCAGTCAATTTATGCACATTTACACCGATAATATCTCGCGTTTTATAGTTCATTGATCTACAGTCACAAAATTAGTCCAGAAAGTCATTGGGGCGGTGGTTCACTACAAAACCCCAGGCTCCACGTTGGGCGCCAAATATGTAGCGGGCATCGAAGGGAACTCCAACACTATGCAAACTTGGACACACAGGAAACTATAATGTCGGTTTGTGTGGAATATTCTAGAAATTTTGGGAACAATATCTGAATGTGGCAAAACTTACACAATTCAGTCAATTTATGCACATTTACACCGGTAATGTCTTGCGTTTTATAGTTCATTGATCTACAGTCACAAAATTAGTCCAGAAAGTCATTGGGGTGGTGTTTCACTACAAAACCCCAGGCCCCACGTTGGGCGCCAAATATGTAGCGGGTTCGAAGGGAACTCCAACACTATTCAAACTTTGACACACAGGAAACTATAATGTCGGTTTATGTGGAATATTCCAGAAATTGTGGGAACAATATCTGAAGGTGGCAAAACTTACATAATTCAGTCAATTTATGCACATTTACACCGATAATGTCTCGCGTTTCATAGTTCAATGATCTACAGTCACAAATTTAGTCCAGAAATTCATTGGGGTAGTAATTCACTACAAAACCACAGGCCCCACATTGGGCGCTAAATATGTAGCGGGTATCGAAGGGAACTCCAACACTATGCAAACTTCGGCACACAGGAAAATATAATGTCGGTTTGTGTGGAATATTCCAAAAATTTTGGGAACAATATCTAAATGTGGCAAAACTTACATAATCCAGTCAATTTATGCACATTTACACCGATAATATCTCGCGTTTTATAGTTCATTGATCTACAGTCACAAAATCAGTTCAGAAAGTCATTGGGGTGGTGGTTCACTACAAAATCCCAGGCCACACGTTGGGCGCGAAATATGTAGTGGGTATCGAAGGGAAGTCCAACACTATGCAAACTTGGACACACAGGAAACTATAATGTCGGTTTGTGTGGAATATTCCAAAAATTTTGGGAACAATATCTAAATGTGGCAAAACTTACATAATCCAGTCAATTTATGCACATTTACACCGATAATGTCTCGCGTTTTATAGTTCATTGATCTACAGTCACAAAATTAGTCCAGAAAGTCATTGGGGTGGTGGGTCACTACAAAACCCCAGGCCCCACGTTGGGCGCCAAATATGTAGCGGGTATCGAAGGGAACTTCAACACTATGCAAACTTGGACACACAGGAAACTATAATGTCGGTTTGTATGGAATATTCCAAAAATTGTGGGAACAATATCTGAATGTGGCAAAACTTTCATAATTCAGTCAATTTATGCACATTTACACCGATAATATCTCGCGTTTTAGAGTTCATTGATCTACAGTCACAAAATTAGTCCAGAAAGTCATTGGGGTGGTGGTTCACTACAAAACCCCAGGCCCCACGTTGGGCGCCAAATATGTAGCGGGTATCGAAGAGAACTCCAACACTATGCAAACTTGGACGCACAAGAAACTATAATGTCGGTTTGTGTGGAATATTCCAGAAATTATGGGAACAATATCTGAATGTGGCAAAAATTACATAATTCAGTCAATTTATGTACATTTACACCGGTAATGTCTTGCGTTTTATAGTTCATTGATCTACAGTCACAAAATTAGTCCAGAAAGTCATTGGGGTGGTGTTTCACTACAAAACCCCAGGCCCCACGTTGGGCGCCAAATATGTAGCGGGTTCGAAGGGAACTCCAACACTATTCAAACTTTGACACACAGGAAACTATAATGTCGGTTTATGTGGAATATTCCAGAAATTGTGGGAACAATATCTGAATGTGGCAAAACTTACACAATTCAGTCAATTTATGCACATTTACACCGATAATGTCTCGCGTTTTATAGTTCATTGATCTACAGTCACAAAACTGGTCCAGAAAGTCATTGGGGTGGTGGTTCACTACAAAACCCCAGGCCCCACGTTGGGCGCCAAATATGTAGCGGGTATAGAAGGGAACTCCAACACTATGCACTACACGTTGTTTTTAAATGTTTTTATCTAGGGCCAAATCATGGACCAAATGTCTGGTTGTAACCTAGCAGGTACTTTCTATTCTCTAGTGCATAGAAAGTACCTGCTAGGTAACAACCAGACGTTTACCAGTCAGTCCATAATTTGGCCCTTAACAATTTAACTGGAAAAATACAAAGTCCACAAAATAATAGCAAAATTACCTGAGCACGTAAAGCGCTGTCCTACGGACATGAGGAGTAGGAACGCGCCATTCTGCTTATGAAACTAAAGTGAAGCCAAGTTTTTGGCAGGTGTTTGGCACCAAAATACAGGTAAAGCATTGAATTGCCTATACGTAGGGAGCCATCAGTCCCTACATTAGAACGCCAATGGTTACCTGACATCACACCTGTTTTTGCCATATAAAACACCCCCTTGCTCCTCATACGGGAAAGTGTCAGTTAAAAATCGACGAAAAATACTCTGCACTACACTTTACGACGCGTCGCATTCAAACCAATGAAATATTTCTCTAGCGACAATTTGCAGCGGTGTCGTGTCACGACGCCGAGCTGAGTGAAGCGCATGTGTGAATTGACCTTTAGAGTATAACAACTTATTAAGACACAAATATTGTTCACAACTCGAGGCGCACCAAGTTTTTGAAAATCTTCCATATGATAAGGAAATGAAAATCCGAATACTTAGCCAAAAGATGCTCAGCCACTGAGATGATAGGCCTACAATAATTCTGCGGAATCTCTGATTCAATGATGTGCAAAGGCTAGCCTGCGTATGCATCACGAGTGCCATGAATAGCCTGTATCATAGCTCTGGAGTCTAATAAAAATAGATGGGTCTAGAGTACGCACTCTAATAAATCTGACAAGGTTGTAGTGGTAGAAAACGCGTCTGCGCCATCTCCGTTCAGACAAATCAAATCCTAAGACGAAATTGAACAATGAAATAAAAATATTTGCTTCTACTTTAGAAGCTTCACTCAAACTTTGAACTTTCTATCTCTGCCTACTCACCAGTATTCCTATAAATAGCGTTCACTCTTTGAACATGCCTCGTCATCACTTCTATACAAGCTTCTTCTGTCCCATATTTTTGAAAAAATTGATGATCAGCCTAAAAACGCCCGAATCACACATTTGTTAAATAATAATTGAAGAATCATTACCTGAAGATACAACATACAAGTCGTCTTTTTAGGATCAATAGTGGCCCGTTTATAAACATTTTTAAATACCAAAGCTGAAGCGTCCACATTCGTCCGGTCGTCAACTTCCATTACTTCGTCGATTTGCTGTTGGTTAATGTCGAAGTTTGTGAAAAACGGCCTTCGGGTTCGGTTTAAGAAAATCAAGTCATCGTCGTAAGGATGTTTAGCTTCTGCTTGCAACAACCATCTAAAATAACACCAATAGAATCGATTTATACAAATTTAAATTTAACCTTTTTTCTCGGCTATGTTGACCCAAATTTTTCTCGTACAATCTTTGTGATGCACAAGAACCTGGCTTTCTAGGATCCTTTACGTCGTTCATTTTGTATATTATCGAATGAAATATTGGTTCTTTGGTAATATTTTGAAATAAATATCTGCTCACTGGTTCTATATGAAATTCGTCGGTTTGTGTCACTACAGTACCCTCGAAAAGTCCGTTTTGGGTTATGATACCAGAAACCAAAGCACTTTCATCATCTGAAATAAAAATATTAAATTTATAATATAAATCAAAATTTAGGACCGTCATTCACAAGTTAATGACTGCAGATGCAAGGAAAACTTTCAAAGTCTCATTTTAGTGCTTAACTGTTTTTGTTCAGCATCCCGGAACGCTGTGTCAAAGTTGTAAGAAAGTTTCCTTCAAGTAATTTTCAGTGGACATAATTATGTAAAGCGATGTTTTTCCGAGGAAACTCTTGAAAGATAATAGGGAGGCGTTAACATAATTATCAAGAAAAAAAAAACTGCGATTTGTCAGTGTCAACTGGGACCGGGTGAAGAATCAATAAAAATTCCTTCGCGGCTCATGAAAAATTTAAGAGGATTTCTTTGGCAAAAAAGGTTGGGTTGACGAATGGCACATATCAGATTCGTATTTGCGGTGTGGTTGAAAGCAAAGTTTTTGAGGATTGTGCCTGGGAAAAAAGAGATTTTTCATTTACGATAGAAGCGAATTTGCTACAAAGAATTGCAGTGCTTCATATTTCACAGATTATTGCAAAACCGGCCATGCTATACTACTTAAGAAGTTGTTAACGAATCATCAGATGAGAATATAATATAAATATACCTATCATAGTCTCATTAGAGGAGAATATAGTATACTTATACAATGCATACTTTTGAATTCTTGTTTCATGATTCGTCAAAAAACCTCCTAGTAGAGTAAAAAGGCCGGTTTTGCATCAAGTTCCTGGCCCTTGACAAAGATCAATGAATAATGTATATCAAATTCTTGCTACAAATCTCAGGTATTTCTTCTATTCCCTACCTTCATTTCAAAGCTATCAGCGACAGGATGTGGCTGTTTGGAAGATTTTAGCTGGGAAAAAGGAAATTTTTCATTGACAATAAAAACGAATTTGCCTTACAAAATTGAAGTGCTTCACATTTCTTTATTGTTTCCTTTTAAAATTAGTCTGCAAACAAAAGAATCTTGTTACCCACGGTTCAAATTTCCTACCGAAACTTAAACGTAAGCCCACCCCCGTTCCAGCTTGGGGCTTTTAAGCGCAAAAGCTGCACTATTTTCCTAAAAACAAAGCTTTTCTCCGGCGAACATCAATTTTCCCACCTTTTTAGCTGTTTTGCATCGCAAAATGTATGTCCCCCAGACCCTGCCGTTGTACAATGAATGCTACGTGAATGAATTCTGCCTCATACAAAGAAAAAAAAAGTTATTTTTGGCTTCCTTGGAAACTCTATTTGATAGGTTTTTCTGTTGTTGTTGATTCATCGATTTTTGTTTAGGGCGTCCCTATAAAAATGGTGTTTGGACTTTCACGTAATGGCTCTTAGTTTATTTATTTTTTTATGATTGATAATATTGGAAAGTGTTTTTTTGGTCCCTCTATTTTTATATCCGAAGATTGCTGATAAATGAAAATTGAGATACAAAAAGTAAACTATCTGTATCTGTAAGTTTGGAAGGGTGGTAGGCCACAGTAGGCCTATTGAAGCCAAAAGATAATGAATTATAATATATGGGTATAATTGAAAAAAAAGGGCAGAAACTTCTTATTCAAATGGCGGCCCCACGTTAGGCGCCAATTAATTTGTCACGCTTTCGTGGAGAGCATTAGGCTCTTAACCTAAGGGGTCGTGGGTTCGAGCCCACGTTGGGCGCCAATTAAAGGGTGTGGGAACGTTCTCTGATCATATATTTGGCCGGCGACATGGTCAATCCCACGAAGAATCCGGTTCAGAAGGCTGGTGGCCTTCCTCGCCAGAAGATCGGCAGCCCTTTGCTGTGATCATGTCCTATGATCCAGCTGACTACTATCGTGTTTTGTATTGACGCTTCTGTGAGGGTACGGTGGCAATGTGGTACTAGTTTTGACGTGAGTCGTGGCTTAGATAGAAATAGTCCTGCTTTGCTGCAGTCCATATGGATGTGAACGATCTTGTCAGTGATATTGTTGCTGACTATCTAATCTACAGCGATGGACATTTGGCATGGAGTCGAGGTCTTTAGGTTCAATTTGAGGGCTTTGGAGTATACTCCGCACCCCTCGCACCAGTTTTAGTTTCACTAGTGTAGATGTTACTCACGCCTACACTATGGCCTTTTGAGATGAAATATAGCGTTACAGAGTCCACTGTTGGATCCAACAGTGGAAACGAGTTTTTTGCCTTGCGCCATGCGGGCTCTCTGCAAACTGACTTCTGCACTTGGGTTCTATACCAACCATATACCAACAGTGCGCAAGCACATCAGTGTGATTAAAACGACCTCCTTGACATAAATCTCCAGTGGCGTAAACATAGTATATATACTTCCAAAGCCTGAGTTGGTGTGGTTTCCATTGCACCAGTTATGTTGAGGCATGAACGTGGTCTAGTTTTCGGCTTCATGACGACAGATAATGGTCCCATAAGTGAGCATAGGCCTAATAATAGCTGTATAGATACAATTTACTACCCCCAGTGTCCTTATTCTTGAAACAGGTAAGCAGCGTTCCCAGGAGAACGAGTGTTCCGTCTTTCTCAATGATATGTAACTGATAATATAAGTAAAAAAGACGGAACACTTGTTCTCCTGGGAACGCTGCTCTCCTGTTTCAAGAATAAAGACCCTCTGGTCATGCCGATGATACGTCAACACTGCTCATAGGCGATATATGCTTTCTGTATTCTCTTAGTGATATGACAGTTCCAAGTTAGTTTGCGATCGTGTGTCACTCTCAGATATTTGACCTTGGCAGCAAAGCTTAGGTGCTGGCGGACGTACCAGTTTCCTCTTTCTTGTGATCAATTCCGTACACCATCTTTCTATAATTTGAAGAGCATCTTGCAAATGTTTGAATTTACCTCCTCCTTGATTTTCATTGTTAAGGCGGACAATGAGGCTATCCCAAAAGTAGGTTTGGGTTTGCATTATTTATTATTTTAACTACTAACTTTTCTCTGGTGGATTTATGCCAGTAAACTAAACTGAAGGCTAAAAAGTGCCACGCTTTTCAGGAAGTACGATGACATCAATAATGTGAGTTTTGTCCATTAAGGTTATGGGTGTCGGAATGTAGCCTTGTGCAAGTTTGGCCAATAGCCACAGTGCAAGAATTTTGTTGTTTTGTCAACTTCAAACCTAAGCTCAAAAGAGTGTCATATCTAGGCAACCCAAACAGAGTACGACTAGCACCTGAGTCAAATAGACGTAACATAGGATATCTCAATATTTTAATTTCAAGGTATGAACGCTGATCACCTTGCTCATGTGATACAATGTAGTCAATAAGGAGCCTATTACCAAAATCATCAAGGTTATTGGTCGCTGGAGTGTGTAGGAAAGAAATCTCGCGACCGAATGATTTTCCCTGGGACCATTTTCCGAGTTACCACATTTAGGACAATGCCAAACTGTGACGTTAGGGTTACCCTAACCACATCGATAGCAATGGGTTTTCCTAGGGTTAGGACAATCTCTATTTGAATGACCGGATTTCTGGCAATTCCAACAAATTAAATTATGTGAATTACTTGATGGTCTTGACTTTTGAGGACCATTTTTGGGTAAATCTACTCTGTCAATGCCAAAGGAATCTGCATCGTTGTTCAAGACAGAATTCGTCAAATCGGAGTTAGCTTGGTCGACCCCAACAAAGGTAAAATCGGGTTCTACAAATTGTTGACGTTTTCTGAAAGGTCGAACATAATGTTCAACTCTATATTTCATTGTCTCCAGCTTAAGACATTCACGCTCTAGTTCTTCAAGTGAATTAACAACAGGGAGTTGAGTTGTGTAGAAAGGTGATTGATTCCTAGACAAAATATCCAATCGAGTTCCAGGAGTCAATCCATCGTTAACGTCTAAACAAGGCCTGAAAACCTTTTATTCAAATGGCGGCCCCCCGTTGGGCGCCAATTAATTTGCCACGCTTTTCGGGGAGATCATTAGGCTCTTAACCTAAGGGTCGTGGGTTCGAGTTCCACGTTGGGCGCCAATTAATTTGCCACCGTTTTTGGTGAATAAAAAAAAATAAAAAAATAAAATTTAATAAAGATACTTGAGATTGCAGGACTGAAAGTCGAAGTGCGTGCAAATTATGTCCTTGATCAGAATTAAATAATTCGGAGAGTAGGGGTGGGTTTATTTTTCGCCGCCACTGACGTAAGACAGATGAGTCGGACTCTCCAGGATGTTATCTGGCTCCAGGTCCTTACAAATTGAATTGGGTGAATTACTTGGTGGTCTTGACTTTTGAGGGCCATTGTTGGGTAAATCTACTCTGTCGATGCCAAAGGAATCTGCATCGTTGTTCAAGACAAAATTCGTCAAATCAAATTTAGGTTGGTCGACCCCAACAAAGGCAAAATAGGGTTCTACAAATTGTTGACGTTTTCTGAAAGGTCGAACATAATGTTCAACTCTATATTTCATTGTCTCCAGCTTAAGACATTCACGCTCTAGTTCTTCAAGTGAATTAACAACAGGGAGTTGAGTTGTGTAGAAAGGTGATTGATTCCTAGAGAAAATATCCAATCGGGTTTCAGGAGTCAATCCATCGTAACGTCTAAACAAGGCCTGAAAACCTCTTATTCGAATAGCGGCACTACGTTGGGCGCCAATTAATTTGCTACGCTTTTTAGTGGATAAAAAAAAGCAGTTATAAAATAAAATAAAAAAATAAAATTTAATAAAGATACTTGAGATTGCAGGACTGACGGTCAAAGTGTAGAGTGGGTTTATTTTTGGGCACCACCGACTTAGGACAGATGAGTCGTACCCTCCAGGATGTTATCTGACTCCAGGTCCTTACAATTCAAATACAAAAAAAAAATATATTTAGGAAAAAATATTAAAAACAGGGGTTCCAAATATCTGTTAATCAAAAATAATTAAAAAAAAAAGTTTAAAGATAGAAATTGAAATTTGATTCTATGCCCTTAAAACAGCCAAAAGATAATGAATAATAATATATGAGTAAGTAAGAAAAAAAAAGAAAAGAGAAAAAAAAAAGTATTTTACCACAAGG